ATGAAAGAAAGCATGTATCATAAAAATGATCTTGAAGAACAAATTCCATACAAGAGAGTTTCTAAGGATTTAAATTGATTCCCCAACAACAAAATAAGTTTAGTTCACCATATTCATTGTGAAACTTGATGAAATACAATGGAAAAGTGAAGGATAGAACCCTAGAAAGTTGAGAAAGGAGCCTTAGCATCCAAAATCCTCCTCCAAGGGGTGAAAGAGTGCGTTTTTGCTTTGTTGCAGCCAAAGATACAAACCCTAGAACGTCCTAAAGCTTATATAATATTCTAAAAATTACAGAAAAGTAGGCCCAAGCCCATAAAAGTGTCGCTCAGCGGTACTAGCGCGTGACACTTCTTTCCCTCAGCTGTACTTACTGATTCTCTTCTTTTGCACTTTTTGTGTCCTTTTCTGTCTCCATCTCTTTCCTACTTCACTTCTTTCATCAAATTCATCTTTAAACCTGCAAAAACAAGGAAATCAAGCATAAAACCTGTCCAACTCTCTTATTTCCAACAATTCAACAAAATCATGAGTTCAAGCTAATTTCTAAGTCACAAAGGTTGTAATTGAAGTCAATTTTAAATATAAAAATAACAGTTTTTCAACTGTTATCAAGTATCTATGCAGAAAACAAAAGAAAGTTTGACCTGCTAATCTCTCCATCATCTAATCCATGAAAGGAAGGGGAAAGTGATCCTTCCTAGTAGCACTGTTCAACTTTCTGTAGTCGATACACATCCTCCATCCAGTAACAGTCCTTGTGGGTATGAGCTCATTTTTTTTCATTATAAATAATTGTCATTCCACCTTTCTTTGGTACTACCTGTGTTGGGCTTACCCATGCACTGTCAGAAATAGGGTAAATAATGTCAGCCTCAAGTAACTTTAGCACTTCCTTTCTCACCTCCTCCTTCATCACTGGATTTAACATTCTCTATGGTTGAGCAACTGGTTTGTAGTCATCTTCCATGAATATTTTGTGTATGCAATATGTTGGACTTATGCCTTTGAGATCTGAGATTGACCATCCAATAGCTCATTTGTTGGCTTTAAGTACTTCTACCAAATTTTCTTCTTCTATGGGAAAGAGAAAGAGTTATTGATGATAACTGGTTTGTTTCCACCTTCTTCTAGAAACACATACTTCAAGTGTGGCGGTAGCATCTTCAGCTCTACTTTGCTTCCTTTAACTTTTTCTTCTGTGTTTTGCAAAGGAACTTTTCGTAACTCTTCCAAATCAGTCAAGCACTCATCCATTAGTTCCTCTTATTTTTCATTTGACTCTTCACAAGTGTCAACTAGTATCTCTTCCAAAGAAAGATCATTACTTGCGTTGTTTTCTTGTATCATGCAAATCTCATCAAGAGAATCAAGAGGAAAGCATTCTTTATCATCTTTTGGGTGAGACACGGCTTTAAAGACATCAAAATTTACTTCTTCATCTTGTACTCTCACTTTCAATTTTCCATTTTCCACATCAATCAAAACTCTTACTGTCTTCATAAAAGGTCTCCCAAGAATAAGAGGCACATTCACATCCTCCTCCATCTCCATGATGACAAAGTCCAAAAGAAAAAGAAATTTGTCTACCTTCACAAGCACATCTTCAACTACACAATAAGGATATTTCAGAGATATATCTACAAGTTGAAGAGTCATCCGAGTAGGCTTGAGTTCCAACCCTTCAATCTTTTCAAACATGGAAAGCGGCATAAGATTAATACTGGATCCCAAATCAATAATTGCCTTCCCAACAAAGATATTCCCTATAGTGCAAGGAATAGTGAATCTTCCTGGATCTTTAAACTTGGGAGGTAAGAGCTTTTGTATGATATCACTACAATTTCCTTGAACTTCAATGGTTTCTTCTTCAATGTACTTCGTTTTCTTTGTGAGGAACTCCTTCAAAAATTTAGCATATGAAGGCATTTGTTGCAGAGCCTCAGAGAAAGGTATATTAATCTCCAATTTCTTGAAGATTTCCATGAAATGCTCAAACTGTTTTTCTTTTTCCTTCCTGGAATAATTCTTTGGGTAAGGAAGGGGTTTTTCATTAGAGTCTTTCTTTTTCCTCTCTTCTTACTCTCTCTCTTGCTTTTCTCTCTTTCTCTTCTTTTTCTCTCTCTTTTGCTTTACTCTCACTCTCTTCTTTTTTTTTCTCTTTTTCATCTTTTTCACTCAATCTATGTTTTTCTTTTCTCTCATCTAAAATCTTGCCACTTCTAATAACAGTTTTGCATTCCTCTCTGGAGTTAGCTTTCATGTTACTCCCAAGATCGTCCAACTTCTGAAGTATGTGACCAAGCTGGCTCCCTATCCTTCTGAATGTTGCCTGATTGTTTTTATGATGAGAATCAGACATCTGCATGAACTATTGAAGGGCATCATCCATCTTAGTCCATCTTTTAGATAGAGAGGGTTGTTGCTGCCATTGGTGTTGTCCGGCAGCTTGTCCAAATTGACCTGATCTCAGGTTTGACTGACGTTCCCACTAGTGGTTGAAATTACTTTGGTGGAATTCAGTGGCCATATAACTAACTTCTTGTCTGAATTGCATCCTACAAGCACTAGACACAAAACTCTAGAAAACACTGTGAGCACAAAAATAAAAATTAAAAATTAAATGACACAAAACAGAAAATAAAAATAAAAATAAAAATAAGAAAAATAAAAATGAAGTCAAAATTAATTAAGAATCAAAGAAATAGAATAGTTTAAACCGTGAATCCCCGACAACGACGCCAAAAACTTGTTGACAATATTTTTTATCTCCAGAAACGAAACCAAAAACTTGTTGATGGATCGACAAGTGTACCGAATCGCACAAGTAATATAAAATGGTAAGACCAAGTATCGTATCC